TAAAGATTATTATTTTTTCAAAATCTTGAATTTAAGAAAAAATTTAGTTATTTTTACCAGATTCCTGAAGAAATCATTTGATGTTTATCAGAATGAAATTAATCCTTGGGTTATTTTTAGAGAAACAGGCCATACAAAATAACACCTTCAAGTTGTGACATATGTTAGTTGGTTTCCCATTCTGGGAAAAAATAACTAATATGCACAACTTAAGGAGGAGGAAATTATTTTGGCTCACAGTTTCAGAAGTTTCAGTCCAAAGTCAGCTGGCTCCAAGGCAGGAACATCTTTGTGGAAGGGCATGATGCAACAAAGTTGTTTGCTACATGGAAGTTGAGAAGCAGAACACAGGGGAAGAACCAGAGAGGAAGTTGACAGGAACCAGATATAGACCTACTCCTTCCAACTAGGTCACACCTCTTATTAACCCATTCATCTATGAACTCATCAAAACCTTAATTCATTGATGAAGTTAGTGTTCACACAATCCAATCATCTCACCAGAAGGCCCTTAAACCAATGGCTAATTGAAATTAATAGAAGCAAAGGATGTTGGTGTAAGCCTGAAATCCCAGCACTCTGGGAGGCTGAGGCAGAATGATGAAAATTCAAGTACAGCCTGTGCAGCTTAGTGGTTTAGCAAGAATCTGTGTCAAAAATAAAAGTGAAAAAGGTGCTTGAAAAAAAGTGCTCGGTGTGAAGGCCCTGGGTTCAATACCCAGTAGTGGAAAAAAAAGATTAACTGGCATATGCCATATACTCAGTTAAATAAGATGAATAAAGAGTCAACATCAAAGTTTTATCCAAAAAATGCAGAAGAAAATGAGAAGGAAGGAGAAAAGAAGATAAGGAGGACAATATAAAATTTAGTGATTACTAATGGACTTCAGATTTAAAAAGAAATTGTAAACAAGAGAATATGAAAAAAATTACATAAAAATCATGAATATGAGTATTTCAACTTAAAATGTTTATAGATTATAAGCATCACAAAAAAATATTAAAAGACTATCAAAACTGAAAGAAATTATTTACCGCAAATACTCGCACATGTCAATATATTTTCTCTGTAAACAATAGTACAAATAAATGTGGGTGAAAAATTAAAATTAGGAAATGAATAGACAATTCATTAAAATAAAAACTGACTAGTAAACATATACAATTTTGGTACATCTCATTGTATTAAAAAACAATAACTTCATTAACATTTTTTAAATTTTTATTGAGTGCTTAATATGCAAACTACTATCTAATATTCTATAATATGTAGCATGGCTGTTGCCCTCAAGATAAAAATAACATTAATAATACCTCAGATAAAAGTAAATATTACCAATTTATTATATTCGATGTTAGTCTACAAAATATGTGTTTATTCCTCTCATTCTTTTCTTTTGCTTATTCTTGGAATTTTATCTAAATAAAACCTTATTAAACCAGATACAAAGTACTGTGATTAGTTTGTGTCTATTCTCTCACCCTCTAAACTAACCCACATGTGTCTGCCAGGCCAGTTTTCCAGAAAAAAATTATCATTTTACTTTTCTTCTAGAGAATGTTAAATTTTTAAACACTCTACCTAGGACCAGATAAAATTTCTTCTGTTAACTAGAAAATGTTACTGAAGACTCTTTCCACATTTAAACATTTCATTTTGATGCTATGTTGACTTACTGAGGCTGGGAATAATACCCTCTCACAATTCCATGAGTAATGACAGTTGGTAAATACAGTTACTATTTAGTTTTCATTGATTTACTCTGGTTGTATAATGGATTAAGATTTATCAAATAGTTTTGAAATTCTGGTCATATATGTGATTTAAAGCCTACTGATTTAAAGGTATTTTAAAAGATATTTTTCTATGTCCATTATGAAAATATTTTAATAAGATGAAATCAACTTGCTGTAAATTAAGCTTAAGAATATTATAAGTCACATAGCTTTTTTAGAGCATTTATTACCTCCTTATTTCTCAGGCTATATATAAAAGGGTTTAATAATGGAATTATTATTGTATAAAATATTGCTACTGGTATATCTTTATCACCTTCTTCAAATGGTCGAATATACATTAGAAGACAAATGTAGAATATTGAGACAGAGAGAAAGTGGGATGCACAGGTAGAAAATGCTTTACCTCTACCTCCCTTAGATTTCATTTGGAAAATTGTGTAAAGAATCCAGAGATAAGAAATCAAGACAGTAGCAATGGTAAAGCTTTGAATTGGCATTGAAAAAATATATATCATTAGTTCATTGATAAAAGGATCTGTGCAGGAGAGTCTATACAGTGGAAGAATGTCACAAAAAAAGTGATCAATTTGATAAGATCTGCAGAAAGTTAACCTTAACAGAAGTCCTACATGAATCATAGAGTGAAGATTACTAACTATGAAGCTCCCAATAGTCATCTGAATGCAGAGTCTCTTTGACATCATGGTGTGGTACTGCAGCGGGCTGCATATGGCCACATAGTGGTCATAGGCCATTGCTGCCAGAAGAAAGCAGTCTGCAGTTTCAGCAAGACAGAGAAAATAAAACTGTGCCATGCACTCATAGAGGGAAATCCTTCTGTCCTGAGAGAAGAAGTTCTCTAACATCTTGGGAGTGATGGTACAGGAACAGCAGGAGTCCATCAGAGCCAGGTTGCCCAGAAAGATGTACATTGGTGTGTGAAGACGATGCTCCATGTAAATCAAGGCCACCAAACCTAGGTTCCCCACCATGGTGATAAGGTAGACAGCAAAGAACATGATAAACAGCAGGATCTTCAGGTCTGGGTGATCTGTGAATCCTATGAGGATGAATTCAGTTGTCAAGGAGTGATTTGCCTTAGTCATTCCTGATTTTCCAGCTGAGATGTAAATTGTAAAGATATTAATTAAGATTATGAGCAGAGTGTGTCTAATTCATTCCTTCTAATTACTCTAGGTACAAAAAGGAAGAATTATCTTCTTCAATTCATCTTATATTGTCTCTTATAAGCTAGTACATTAACAGTAGGTCAAGACATGTGAAAAGAAATGTATTAAGGAGTATACACACAGGATACTCTCTATTCATTGGGCTTGAAATGTCTGTGAATGCAGAGTGTGGAAAAGCCTTTTCTACATGAGTTATCTTATGCCCATCAATAAATTCATATATGTAATCCATATATTCAGTGTATGTATTTTGTCATTTCCTAACATAAAAAACATTTTAAGCTAATTTTTCTCCACAAAATTAATAAGTGCTACATATTGCCCTATGGGATTTATGCAATATTTTAAAAAATTGCTCTTTAAATAGTTTTTAAATGACTAAATGGCTAATTTTTAAAAACTGCACAGAACAACTGTGAGTTTAAAAAATGTTTCCTATAGCTTATTAACCTTATCCAGATCAGATCATCAAGGGATATTTTAAAGAAAGATCTACTTATCCTTTAAGACAGCATAAGAATAAAGGACATCTTTGTATTTTCTCAATAAATGTAATGAAAATATTTTATATTCATCTTAACATTTTCTGGTGCCTATTCTTGTCTTGTCTGACAATTTTTTCCTCTTCATTACCCATTTGTCCTAATATTTTATGTCCATAATATTGTGTCCCTTATGTATATCTCACATTATAAGACTTAGTGACAAAGAATTCACTCACAGCATGAGTATTCTGCATGACAAATATCTAGCACTATCAGAAACACCTTCTGTAGAAACTCACGTCTTCACTTTTTTTGAGTCTCATAGAGGTTCTTCATTTATGTATTTAAATTTGCATACTTATCTACTCATAATCTGTCATATATGTATTGGAGTTTAATGAATACCCAAATTAATCACATATTTAATATAGTATGGTAAGTATAATATTATAATATTTCAAATGAAGAAACAATGTGAGTTTTTAAGACTGACAAAATAATTTTTGTTTCCTTCCAGAAACTGCTAAAACTCATTGGCATTAGTGTACTTCAGATACATAATTTTGGAGAAAAGCCTACAATAGTTATTGTAGCATTGTTTTAAATAGCATTGTTTTAAAAACACACTTTAGTTAGTATTTTGCTGTTTCTTATTTTTGTCTCACTGAACTTAATACACTGTTTTTTATCTATTCACTCACATATTAGGGTGAGGTTTTTCTAGAGTTTTATCACTAAAATCCTATAATCAAATGAATAATACAAAGTACCTTTCATATTCCATGCCTATAATTCTTTTAAAATATTCTTTAGAATTATGTTTTGAAAAATATTTGTAAAAATATAAAAATACATTTTATTATTATTTTAACAACATCTAGTGGTAAATCAGCTGAAAATACTTATGTAAATTCTGGTAAAATAGGCTTATTTTGCAGTGATTATCTTTTTTCTTTTTCTATAATTTTCTTAGAAGGTAATCTATAAAATTCTCTTCCCCATTCCAAAATATAATCATTTGTGTGAATCAAAAATCAATTTCATTATACATTCCTCAAATACTCCACATGTTTTATAGACCTACCTGTATATTTGCTGATAAAAATATGGTACTTTAGAAGTAAGGATAGTCAAACTGATCCACTTACTGTGTCTTATTACTTCTTTTCATATTGTCTTCCATTTAGAGATGAAGTTAAAAAAAGCTAATAAAATGTAAACAATAAAAATACGTATTTACAGAAATATATATTTCTGCATATTTACATCATAAATAAATTACAAATCCAGCATCATATTTTCAATTCACTAATTAACAACATTTTATAGGGGCTGATTGGCCATGTATGTTGTTTTAATGGAAATCAAGAATAAACACTTTGGTCTTTAAATCACTGGTGAATAAATTATGAAAATTTAAGATATTCTCTCCATTCACAGGTCAGTAATAATAATTATGTAGCTGCCTCAAGGCAAAGTATAAATTGTCCATTCATTTCTAAAGGGATTTTTCTTGGCATTGCCATTAGGGTATTTCTGCAGAGTCTCCTGATATGAGAGGCATGGTTCCCAAAACACCAGTAAACCAAACATTAATTAAAGAGGGATGCAGTTTGAGATTTTTAAAGTTAAATCAAATGGCCATCACTAAAGTCAGGTTAAGGGTCAACTTGATTTTGCACACATTCTCTCTCTCTCTCTCTCTCTTTCATTTCTATATTTTCTATCTAAAATCTGTGATTGATAGAAAAGATTTGTGCTGATTACTTAGAGTGGAAGTTTAACAAAGATTTGAAGAGAGATTCGGATTTTCAAAGAAACAAAAAATTGTAGTGTGATCAATAGAATTGTATACCTTTCTTTCACTACCTAAATGAATGTTACCCAATCCTATAGATTTAGTCTCTGAAAAACTCTAACATTGTGCTCTTTAGTTTCAATTATTTATGTATAGTAACTGTACAAAAATTATTAAAATATTACTATGCAAATTTTGTATACTTAATATGTGCAACTTCATGAATTTGGAGATAACTATACATCAGCACAATTAATGTCATAATCATAAGTTTTTTTTTGTTTTTTGAGGGTGATGGGGATTGAACCTAGAGCCTTCTGTATGTTAGGCAAAGACACTACCACCAATAAGAACCAAGAGAGTATGTAAAGGTGCATATCTCCAATGATGAATGTCATTATATTGTACACCTAAAATGTACCAATAAAAGGATTAAAAAAAAGACACTACCACCAAGATATACCCCAAATTAAGCTTACTTTTTTTTTTCTTTTTTTGATACCAAGAATTGAACTCAGGTCCTTGAGCTTGCAAGGCAGGCAGTAAAACCACTGAGAAGGTTACTTTTTAACTGGGCTTCTAGCTTCATCCTTTCTCTACTATAGTTATACTTTTATGCCCTAAAATGATTTTGGCTGCTCTTTATATTTCAGGTGAACTCTTTGTCCTTTACCTTGGTATTCCAATGGCTCCAGAGACTAGGTTTATATTATCTATGACTTCTATCATTCACCTTTAAGAATTCACCTTCAGAGACAAACTCATCACTTCTCTATTTCTCAGTGCACTAGATTTCAGTATTATTTACTGAGACTCTACTCCTCAGATTAAATACTATTTGACATATTAATCAATGTAAATGCTATCCAGTCTTATATGAGGTTTGACTCCGACCATGTAGATGTTTTGCCTATGAAAAACTGTTGTTTGAACTTACAAATGAAGCCTAATTAAGAGCTCTTTTATCATAAATGACTGCAATGAGTTTTCAGATTAGAAATTTGAGGATATCTTCATGCTGGGAATCAAGCCTCACATAAGATTGGATTAATATATACAATATATGTGTTATGTATCAGTTAAAATAAATTTGAAAACTAAAATTAAAATTGAATGCTATTTTCTTTAAGAATAGAATTATGAGCAAGATATTTATGAACACAAAGAAGGATTTAACTTAAGGTCCTAAGAAAAGACATTACCAAAAATACAACATTATTGTGGCAGGATAAATTAAATTATAACAGCCAGAAAACATCTGTAAAAACATAATAAGCTAATGGAACAAACACATGATTCAAGGAAAAAGCATGGATGCTTGAAAGTTCAAAGTATATTTAGGGAATGGAGAGTAAACAGGATAGCCAGAGTGTAGGCACCCGCTAGGAATAGGAGGAATTAGAAAGTTTGGTAGTAACTGGTTGTACTACACTTGGTCACACTACTTTCTCACTGCTATTATTACTCAAATCCTAATCACCAAATCTAAAGCATTCTTGTTTACTACTGCATTAATCAATTAATTATATGATTTGGCAGTATTGACCACACTCTGAAATTCATTCCTCCCTTAGGATTCTGTTGTAATTTTTTTTATTCCTACATCTCTGGTTATTCTTCATCATGTTTTCTACTATATGTGTTTTGTTTCTTTCTTTTCCCTTTGTACTTCTTCATCTGAGAAGTATATAGTCATCTTAGAAGCCCATTTTTGGATTGGGACTTTAAATTTGGGGCATTCGATTTTTATCAGTTCTTTATATATTAGATATCACTCTTTTATTGGAGCAATAGCTGGGAAATTTTTTTCCCACTCTGTTGGTTGTGTCTTTACTCTGTTGGTGATTTCTTTTGATGTGCAAAAGCTTTTTAATAAGATGAGATTCTAGAGGCCAGGAGGCTGCCCAGAGAGGAGCTGCACAGGCAGGAGGACTCCCACTGGAGGCCTGCCATTCCATTGGTGAGTGTGTGCAGATCCTGGGCAACAGCTGTGTGGCTCAGACCAGTGTGGCTGTAGGAAGATCCCAGCAGGGGCTACTCCCCAACACCAGAGGTTCCAGTACCACCTCCTCTAGGCCAGGAGCCTGCTGAGAGAGGAGCTGCATGAGCACACAGGCTCCTGCCAGAGGCCTGTCATTCCATCCCTAAGTGCTGGCAGATCCTAGGGGAGCAGCTGTGTGGCCTGGACCAGTTCAGCTGTAGGCAGATCCGAGCTGGGGCTCTGCACCAAACCCAGAGGCTCAGCACACCCACCCAAGCCAAAGTCCTGCCCAGAAAGGGGCTGCACAGGCACACGGGCTTTGGCCAGAAGCCAGGTACCCATTGGCCACAGCCAGGTACCCACCTAGAGAAGAGCTGCACAGGCACACAAGCAATACCCAGAGGCTCACACCATACCATTGATAAGTGTGAGGAGACCTAGGGAAAGCCTATGCAGACAACAGAAACTGGGGTGCACAGAGTCCAATCAAAGGCCCTCCCAGACAATAGCTACATAGGGCTCCCAGTGAGAGGCATGCCTAGATACCATCCTAATGTGCTCAGGCCCCAGCCAGAAGCCTACTAATACAACAGGTCAAATCAGGGATCTAGAGGGCCACCACTCTGAAAGCAGGAATTGGTGTGCTGGTGAACAGCAGAGTAAAGGCTGTTCAGTGGCTTGCTGAGAATTCAAGACTACTGGGTGAGCAAAGAGTCACCTCAACAAAGGTACAGCAGGCTGCATCTGTTGTAATGAAAAGACACGCAAGTAAATTTCAAAAGCAGACTTCCAGATCACCTAAACAACCCCACAGTGCAATGAGATGGAACAATCTGATACTCAACCATCTGGACTCCCTGAACAGGCAATGAAAGGGGACCTGGAAAAAATGAAATCAGAAATAATTTCTCAGATAATAACAGAGATTGTGCC